CTAGCTTGTGTTTATTGATATTAGTTGTTAATTGTTATGCAATGTTTATGAACATTTCATGCAAATATAATAGTTATAACTATACGTATGTAAAAGTCTTAATAAGTTTCAAAAAGTCTATGATGAAAGTCTAAAAAATTCTATAAGAATTCTCTGAAAGTTTCAAAAATTCTATTAAAGTCATGAAAATTTTACAAAGTCCACCAAAGTCATACAGTTTAAAAGGTCTTTAAGAATCTCAATTATAACTTTCCAATAATTTCTATAAGTCACCCGATATTCAAAGTAGGAAGACTTTATGAGACTTTTTAAATTATAAAACTATTAGAGACTTTTTTGACAAACTACAAAGAGAAAGTCCTAGGAGAAATCTTATCAAATTGATGAAATTTCCCTGAACTTATGTGACACTCTTCATACTCTCATTTCTCAATATCGTTAATGTACACGACTTTATATCTCATATTACTTTCACACTCTGTTATTTTACTTATTTATTATGATAGTTTGCATTATTTAAAATTTCATCATGAAAATTTTAGGTGATTTCTTTCTTTTATTTATTTTTTATTATGATTATTTTATGTGTATATACGTGTTTTCTCATTTTTATTGCATATGAGTTTGACTTTTCACACGTTAAATGCTTGTATTTATTCACATGTCAATAATTTATATTTTCTCTCTTTTTTTTTCTTTTTTTTTTATCGGAACGATAGAAAGATCTATTAACCGAATTTGTGAATTTCTATTTTTAAATATTAAAATATTTATTTCATTTTCTAAGAGTTTATTTGTTGATATAAAATTATTTTGAGTGTTATTGATAATTTTAGAAGATACAATTATTGTATTTTGACAATGTTTGTGCCATGTAAAATTATATTCTAATAATATTTTTCTAATATCGTAACATGATGCAAAAGAATATAAAAGATAAAATTAATATATAATTAAATAAATATATATAGACTAGGTTGAATATAAGTGTCATTGCAGCAAAGATGGGTAACAAGTGTTTGAGCTTGTGCTCGTGTAACAAAAGGCCATGCTCGAGTTTGACTCGTTGAAGCTCGTGAACACTCATATCGTCTTGCTCGTTTAATAACCCTAAAACCCTAAACAAGTTGTTTGTGAATAGCTCAGTTCAAATAATAATTCTAGGATTGATTCATAATATGTAGAAGATTAATCTACAAAACCTTTTTTTATTCTTTATTCTTATTCAATAACTAATGTTTACTAACATAACTCATTTTGGTTTAATATTTATTTGAAAAAATAACTAGCTTGAATTTATTGATATTAGTTTTTATGCAACGTTCATGAATTTTTCATGCAAACACAATACCTGTAATGACAAGTATAAAAAAGTCTTAGTAAGCTTCAAAAAGTGCAGGATGAAAGTCTTAAAAGGTCTCTAATTAGAATTATCTAAAAGTTTCAAAATGTCCACCAAAGTTATGAAAGTTTTACAAAGTCACATAGTTTAGAAAGTCTTCAAAAATCTTGATTGAGTACTCTTCTCTAAATTTACAAAGTTCTCCTTAAAAATTATTAGTTTCAATAATTATTTCCACGAATTTATTTTAATTTTTTAGTCCTATGTTTTCGATAGATAATATCTTATCNTACAGATATTGATAATTAAATTACAACTTTTTTAAATAAATTCAAAGTGTATTGGTAAACTTATTTATTTAACTTTCTATAATTGTAGAAGTTAATAATAAAAATGTATAGACTACCATTGTTATGAAAACCTGACCGAACTGGATGGTCAAAACAGGAATCAATCAATTGACCGATTTAGTTCGCTAGAACGAACCGGTAGTCAGCGAATCGGTCAAGAACCGATCGTTGACTAATTTAACCAGAACAACCAAAGACCAACTGGTACGACTGCTCAATTTTTTTTTTCTTTTAAGAAATAATTTTGTTTTAAAATATTTAATATTTTTTATTATAATAAAAGTATAGATTTAAATATATTGGACATGTAAAACTTATCATATCAATTTTCTTTGACATTTGAATATTTTAAATTATCTAAATATTAAGTTAGTGATTCATATGAAATATGCATTGTTAAACATAATACATAAATTTAACCATATTATTTAATTAATAGAAGTCCAAATGGTTTAATCACGGTCCAACTAGTGAACCATTGAACTAGTACTTTGTTTAATTCAATGGTCGCTTCGGTTCTTAGAAACTTGTCTGTTGTGAGATATGAGTTAATTATCAAAAGTATTATTATTATTATTATTATTATTGTTATTATTATTACTATTATTATTATTTTTTGCATCATATCATTTAAAGAAATGTTATTTTGTATTTTATTGTATTCATATTTACAAAAAATTACTACTCAATACTTTCTCTGTCCCAAACTATTTGTGATTTTTTAGTTCGTCCAAAAATATTTTTATTAATTCAATAATTATTTTAGCACTTTATCATTATATTTTTATTTCTTCTTTGCCACATCTTTTTAGATTTCAATTGCTTCGGTTGACCTCGTCCTTAGAGGGGCAGGCGGCGGCGGCTCGCCAGAGCTGGCGTATTGGATCATGGGTGGCGGCGATGGCTGAAAGATGTTGAGGCTGCTTAAAGTGATTTGCCATGCGAGGAATCATTACCTCATACTGCCATGGAAAGCAAGAGGGTGGAGTTCGTGATTACGCGGTGTTCGGAATTCAAGAACGTGGATGTCTTCAAGGAGAGTTGCGGCGTGACTCGGATCGAGGTGTCGTGGCTGGGTGCGGTGCGACGCTCCACGCCACATCGCTACTGCTGAGGATCGACAATGGGGATTGGGATTGGTTTGTGCCGTTGAGCATGTCGGATTATCCATTGTTGGCCCAAGATGGTGACATTATTGACTTATTTATTTACTTATTCATTTTGCTTTTGTAGGTGGTGTAATGTCATGGTAGTGTATGATTGTTTATGTATTGTTTATTTTAAATGTATGCTTGGTATACAGAATCTGACAATAGACGCTTTTCATTTTTTTATTGCAGCGACTGTGGTATATTTGTTGCATCCTTTGGAGCATTTTATTTGGATAGGTCTTATCCTTCCACCTCCAGAAGGGTAACCGAAAGCTTGTGCGAGAAAAAAAAAACAATTGGGGAAGAAGATGAAGTCCATTGGATGTGAAAAGTTAGTGACAAACCCGATGCCGACGATGACTTTCAGTCTAACCGATGATATTCCACAAAAAAAAAAATATCAAGAAACGACTTAAGGAGAAGGTTCCCATTTTNATATGTTTTTTTTTTATAAATTTCTCATGGTTTATTATATTAATGGTCTTTGTTTCGTTTTATTTGTAGTTCTGTTGTATTTTATGTTTTAGATGTTGTATACTTTTGTGACTGGATTTTTGTATGTATAAGAGTATTTGTATATAAAACTATAATAAACTGAAAATAAGTTATATATTAAATTACAATTTGTATTCTCTTGTTATATTATATATATATGCACACAATTAACCTTAATATCACGTCGGAAATCATTATATGGAATGTTATTTTTTTGGCCGCGTTTTCTTATCTGCTGTATCCACAATTAATTACCTTATCTTCTTTAGATATGCAAATAGGTTTTCAAGAATGAAAATGTGTAGTTATTTAATAAGAGCCACGATATATGTTAAAAGACAAAATTTATTTAAAAAAGAAAAAGAAAACGATTTGTCATTCCACTCCACAACCTATGGATTTGGACGAATAGAGACCCAACAAACAGCCATGGTGGTGACAACCTTTGGTGTGCAACTACTCTAGCCTGCCTCTGACACAAGTTAGAGTGACAAAAAAACTTTCTTTGAGGGTGTAGGCATCCTGAAAATTTAGAGCAACCGCAAATTTAATAAATTGGAGTTTATGGGTTGATTTAAGGACTAAGTGCATCCGAATTTTCATACTTGAGGGTCGAGTTGCTCATGGTGACAACCGATGACTGTCACACAAATTGATGCATCAGTTAACCAAACTGTAACGCCCCACTTTGATTTTAAAGAAATTTCGGACTTTCAGAAAAATTAGATTAAATTTTTTCAAAATTTATTTCAAACATTTGTGGCGTTACTCAATTATTTCAAATCATTTCCATGACATAATAAAAATTTCATAACATAAATCATGCAACTCCCAAAACGGGATTCAGAAATACATAAATCATCAATTCACCCAAATCGGGTTCCCAAATTAAAACTCAAGTTTGCAAGACATAACAATGTCAACGGGGCATCTCCCCAATAGTGTTTCAACACTTCATAAAATCTCAGAGTTCGAAAATTCATCAATCGTAAATAATCATAAATATAGCGGAAGCATAACCAATAAATAACCGGTCTCATAGACCGACTACCACTCGCTCTACTCTGCCGTCGTACCCGTCTTGCTTAACCTGAAACGTTAATTCCAAGTGGGGATGAGCACAGTTGAAAATCGTAGTGCTCACCTTATGCAACATTTATCAATATGTAATAAAAGACAATAGGATCGCAGCATGTACACGAATCAATCAAGTATTCCAAATTTTGTCATAAATTCACAGTGTTCAGACTCATGTGCACATATATACAAATAGACTACTGCCGGTAGATGTATCGAAGGCCCTCACTCGGGTCATGCTTCGAATGCCCCATGGCTTTACATCTATGCCCTTCGGGCTTATACACCGAATGCCCCTCAGGCTTCTATCGATGCCCAGTCAGTAGGAGTAACCCCTCGGGTTTATTTTCATAAATATGGGGACAACCGTTCGACGGCCGGTACAGCTCACATCGAATGCTACATGATTCGTAGGCACACATCGATCATACACAAGTAAAGCAAACAATTTATTACATAGACAATTTTTAATAAAACCCACATGGTCGAAGCGACAATTCACAATCACGATTCTCGAAAGCAGGGTATGGTAAACACCTCAAAATACCTACATTAAGTCAAGATACTAATATCAACACCTTATCTTGACTTAAAAAGGAATTCACAATTATACTTAGTCGAACTTGATTCGACTAAGTTGTTCGTGAAGTCCTGTGGACATTGAAACACTTAGACTCGGCTCTAAGACTCAACCAAACACGCATGGGAGTTCACGTAATCTCAATCAAAGATTTAGCAAGTCAAACAGACAAAGAATAGCATGCGAGTCGGTTTACAGTTTTTAACACAAAAATTATATTTTCGAAGTAAAAGCCGGTAATTCAAATAATTAGGTTGGTCAGGTTACCGAATGAGTTAGGCTCTGAAATTTTAACGAAAAATCCACTCACTGAACACAGTAAATCCACCAAGTTTCAGCCCCTAACTCAAAGCACACAATTTTATAAAATTTGAACAAGTTTTCAGAAAAAACGAGAACAAATTAAACACCTGACATATTGAACGATTCAGCCTTTGAAAGTTTTACCCAAGGAACCTCAGCATGTGAATAGCAGCATGTAAAAATCTCAGTTTTAAACACTTAACGTGCGAATTAATAAAATTGTAACAACATTCAGCAGATTTTATTGTTTCAGTAAAGCCGAACCAAAAATGACCTCCAAAAAATCCAGTATTTTTACAGCATGAAACACATCACAAAATAAGCATTTCAACTAAAAATCAGAATTTTACAGCATCAGATAAATTTATCATAATTAAAACAATTTTCATCAGAATCACAAATTAAATTATTTTCCTTAGTAAATTGAGTCCAAAAATTCTGAAAATTTTACACAACCTCTAACACAGACAGGGAAACAACATACTAAAATTTCATCAATTTTAGAGCACAACTCAATTTATTATGCAATTGACACGATTCTGCCCAAAAATCAATTTAATTAATTAAATTAGACACAGGCCGAATAAAATTATGAAATTTTTACACGAGCATTATATTCATCAGAGGACATAACAGTTAAAATTTCATGGCAATTGGAGCAGCATAAAAGTTATTACGAATTTAATACGGAAACAACAATTTTACGAGTTCGACAATTCATGTACGACTCGACGAGACTCGAAATTATCCGAGGCCTTCACCATAAGGCCAAGGATCCTTTATGTTCCAATTTCCCACAGCATTTACACGTTTGTACATGATCTCGGTCGAGTTCGCACGAACCGAAGAGATCGACACATAAATTAATTCACATAAGGCTCAATGTTTTCATATCAATCTCAACGTTGCTCATAACTCTTAAACACGTAAATAACACATCCAGTATTAACACATATAACGAAATTAAACGACACGGGTTCGAGCCTAGGTACCGTTCTCGGGAACACGTTCGAAAACGGGACAAAAGGAACGAACGGAACGTCGAAGGCGGCAATGGGCTCAACGACTACGCTTCGTCTCGAGGAGGAGGAGCAGCGGCGGTGGTTGACCGTCGGAGTTGCAGGCCCGCCGGGTCTTTTGAGCGGGAACGACGATTGAAGACGGGGTCCTGCTGCTTCGCGGCGAGGAGGCCTGCGCGCGGAGGAGGTCTCGCGGTGGCTCGTCGGATAAGGAGAGCTCGCGGCGGTTCGCGGCGTTCACGGACTGAGGAGCGGCGGAAGAGGGTGCTACTCGTCGGAAATTCGCTCAAATCGCCATATGTTTGCTCTCGGTCGGAGTCGCTTCAGGTCACCGGTGGTTTGCTGTGCGAACAGGAATCGCCGGAAAACTTCGCGAGGTTGCAGGGTTTGCGCGTGAAGGTCGATGGCGGGTCGCGTTCTGACGTGAGGATGGTGATGCTCGGGTCTCAACGAGAGGAGGCGACGAGATTTCTTCTTCTCTGCGTGAGAAGGAAGAAAGACGATGGCGAGGGTTGAGGGAGATGCTGAGATGAGGATGAAGGAGATGGATGTTGCAGCTTCGATGAGATTTGGGCAGATTTTTGGATGTCTGCGGGATTGAGTATCTAATCAAGCGAGGGAAATAAAAATATATAGACTAGGGTTGCTAGTCTTGCCACACAAGAACACACACACACGCACAATAGAAGAAAACCGGGTGGGTCAACCGGTTCATGGGTCGTGCACGCGGGTCACCGGGCCGAAGGTTCGGGTCGCGGGGTTTTAACGGACCGATAATACTTGGACAAAAAGGCCGGAATAATTAGTTGTTATGGGCTGAAAATAATAAGGCTCGATTCTGGGTTCTCGGGCTCGATTTTACGGCTCGGTTCTCGACCGTTTGACGATTAAAAATAAAAATAAAATCGGAAATATATTTAATACACACAATATTTAATAGTAATATTAATTATAGGCCATTAAACATTTAATTCACAATTAGGCATTCATTAAATAATAATAATAACAATTATATTAATAATAGTAATAACAATAAATAATATCAATAATAAAAATAAATTATTCTAAATAATCCATAAATAAACGGGGCGCTACAGTCTACCCACCTTATAAAGAATTCCGTTCTCGGAATTCGAAAAAACAAACCACGACAAGATACTAACGAGAAATAAGAGAAGACAACATCAATACATGAAATTTCGGTACCTCCTCCGAATTTCAGTTTCCCTCTCCCAAGTCGTCTTGCCTTGACAACCACAATTGGACTTTGACGAGTATCCCACCCGATCTTGTTCAAAAGTCACCGGTACCTCCAAACAGGTAGGGTTCTGCCTATCACGCAGCTCGTCACATTTCATATGTACTCCGAGATCACGCACACGTTTCCTCCATCAAGAGGCATAGAACGTGTCATGCATCCTCGCGAGCTCCGGTGGTGGAGTCAACCACCAGGCTAAATCATCGACTTGGTCGAGAATCATAATAGGACTGAGTACGCAGGGCAGTAACCAGAACAACAACATACTCCACCTCTATTCGTACCAGTTACCTCGCATAGTACCATTAGGGTTGTTGCTAGATAACCATCGTTACCAGCGTACCTCTCCATGGTAAGGTATTTCTCACACTCTACTCATCTATCAATGCACAAGACCCTAACCGGTCCTTTCGTGTCTCGATAGCATACTCCAACAGAATCAACATATAGGGTTGACATGTAGTATCGAGCTTCCATCTCGTGCCCGGGTCACGCGAGAAAACTCGATTACTACAACGACCTAATCCGCGCGTCCTTATAAAACAGGCCGCCACGGAATCCCATACGGATGGGCTAACAATCCACAATAACACTATATCCTCAACACCGATACCTACAAAACACACGGCTCTGTTTGATACTGTTGTCAACAACTCTTCCCTTGCTGGCTCGAATAACACCTCGAATGCGGTTTAGGAAATATCGACTAGATGTTCGAAAACAATCTCCTATCGCAGAATCTGTCTCATGGTTAGAGATGCTCGATATTCCCGTACGAACGATCTAACACCAATGCCCTCTCACTCTTCGTAGGTCTCGATCCCTACGAAGGATACATAGTCTCCCATCGAGACTCGAGACACTGCCCAAAGACAACGCGGGACCTATATCTCGCCATCTCGAGAGAATCTCGCATATAGCAAAGGAAACTAATCGACAAGCCTCACATATCGAGAGTTGTTGATTAAGGAGTTCATACAACAGTTCGGTGGAACCTGAAGTCCCCGGTTCAAGGTTCAGGAGAAACGATCCCAAAGGTCAACACTCATGAAAAAGAGATACTGGTTTACCGACACAAAAGAACATAGTCGGTTTGGAGTTTAATGCACTGTCACCCGAGAGATGACACACACATTGGCGCTGCATAAGCGGGGCGCTTGGACGTGTGTGTGCACTTGTTTGGGGACCAGCTGCAAGGTCAAGGTTTGGTCGTACACACTGCCTGGGGAGTTCCTGCGTTCGGTGATGGCGGCAGCAGCTCTCGTGCGAGTCAACGATCGACCACTGCAGTTGGCCTCACGTCTCTCAGCACGGGCGTGCGGGCTCTGCCACCACTTCGCGTGGCTACACCCATCCAGGGTTCGGCGTTCAGTTCAAGGTACATACCAAAAATTTCAATTTCCTGGTCCATAGATTCCTGGATACTCAAATGGGAGAAGGTTTCCCTACAAGACATCCCAAACTACAACAGTTCAAGAAATACTGCTGAGCTACAATTTCCATAGGAATCGAACATTGGCATCATCGCCCGAAAAAAAAAATCCTAACATTGGCGGGATCGCCAATCATTATAATGGTTAGCTCACTTGACCCTTCCGACTGACAATGTCGGCCGTCACGACAGCTTTTACTCAGGTAGCTAATCGTACCGGCGGTCCTATATGAGTTCGACCACATATACAGCTTATAGTTCCACACTTCGAGGTCTAGCGTAAAGCTTCTCTCGCAAGTGTTTCCAGCTAACATTATAATACTGAACAGATTAAGTCACATAGGGCACATATACATGAAAATTGACGAAAAGCTAATTTTTGAAAATCACAGCTCAATTTGGAAACCTAAACATGAACTTGCACCAATTTTCAGCATGAGTGATGAATTAAAATGCATTTAGCTTTCAGTCTACAAATCATATCATGATGAAACCACTTGAAAAACATCCCTAACTCATGCTTCTATCACTTTTATGAAGTACACTCAGGCAGATAAAGTCATTTAAATGCACATAATACAGCAAACATCCAAAACATAGGTGTAGTGGATAAATGAAGACTTACAGCTTGACAGGTCCTCAGTGTATGCAAAATAACCGAAGCTACAGACATGATATTACTGAAATTCAAAAACCGTAAGGTAGATAACTCAATTATCTACCACGTTCCTGAAGACTCTATTGGCAAATAATGACATTATCAACGAGTTTAAATATAAAACATTCAGCTCATAAACACAGCCAGAGAACAACTTTTCGAATATACAGCACCTTAGTAAAATGGCAACAACTCAAGCTACACAACTCCAATTTATACAAACTTAAATCCTACAGAATCTACACATGGAAATATACAATTGTTGTGAAGAGAACTATTTCATACGAACACGTTTGGGTCATCAAAACATAGCACACATTCAACACTTAAACACAATCCGGGTTTCATAAAAACTGGGTGTACATCCCACTTAGAAAAAATTATATAAAATCAACTGAAACTCCAAATTGTATGATTCCAATTCTCACAGGCTGCTTACAACATATACTACATTTGTCATGAAGAATACATTTTAATGTAGGCACGTTAAGGTCATAAAAAACAGTCATGAACTAAGGTTAAAGTTTCTGTCCGAGTTTATAAAAACTGCATGCCTATCTGCTTTTGAAAATTCATATAAAATCCATTTTCGGTCCAAATCACAAGATTTCTAAACCCAACGAAACCTAATCAGAGCACTACAAAATGCAACAAGAACACTGAAGCAAATAAGTTCATTACAGAGGGGCGAAATCAATTATCATCATCAATCAGTTTCTGCCCAAAAGTATAAGCACACTTCATGCATATCATACTACAATTCAACACAAACCGAGCTACAGTCCTCATACCAACATGAATTTTACCTCATTATAAATCTTAGAATACAATTTTTGTGAAGATTACATTTTCATTTGAATACATTAAGATGCAACAAACAGGTCAAATATTTAGCATGACCTTGCTGCCGGGTTTTTGTTTAAAAACTGCTCGTACACTATTTTGTAAAAACCATAACTCACTCGTTGTAACTTGGATTTAAGAAATTCCAAATCTCACATAATGGCAACAGGATAAACTACATTTTATGGGAAGAACACAACTTCCTAAGATGAGTACTTCAGGGTCATTATAGCAGCGCAACAGAGCAGCAATTTCGCATGTCATACCCAAAACCGCATTGAACATCATTCATCGAAGATCACATATATATCAAACGGGCCCGAACAAACCTATCATGATATAAACGATACCCTCAACCTAATACATCTCATCATAACACAAGTTTCGAAAAGAAATTTCTAGCTTTTAACCAAATTACATAAACATGATAGAGCATCAATAAAACACATATCCTTATCTCTTACCCAACTAATCATGCTTCGAGCTAACATGAACTCACTATTACTAAGACATCAGAGACATTAAACATATAACACACAAGAGGTTGAACAGAGGCCATAAACATCCATAATACTGGCAGCCTATAAAACAACGACTCATCTCATAATTTTCGAAACCTGGAAAAGGTCCGAAGAGGGCGAATACATTCCCGGTTCTAATTGACTGGGTCCTCACTTGGAGACATTGAATAGAATTATATAGCAAGGAAAACTGCTATGGGCATAACTTATCTCGATAACGACATACTGAAACTCACAACGAGGAACCTCTAGAATCCAAACTTAACTCTATATCACTAGAGTTCAAATTAAAACCAAGGTGGATAGATCCTAAGCCCCAAATCATATCATAGCATATTATCTCAATTATCAGGCAACACTTAAGCAATTTCAAATTCACCTATGAAACTCATACCTGAGTTGGCGCGGCACGACGGAAGCGAGTTGTCATATACATATTATGCAGTATTTCACATAATTCACACATACCAGTCAACAAAAATGCAGACTGGCTCTGATACCAAACTGTAACGCCCCACTTTGATTTTAGTGAAATTCTGAACTTTCAGAAAAATCAGATTAAATTTTTTCAAAATTTATTTCAAACATTTGTGGCATTACTCAATTATTTCAAACCATTTCCATGACATAATAACAATTTCATAACATAAATCATCTAACTCTCAAAACGGGATTCATAAATCCATAAATCATCAATTCACCCAAATCGAGTTCCCAAATTAAAACTCAAGTTTGCAAGACGTAACAATGTCAACGGGGCATCTCCCCAATAGTGTTTCAACACTTCATAAAATCTCAGAGTTC